CACTGGCTAAAAGTTTGATGGAAACAGATTCAACAGTAATCCTTCTAAAGAAAAACGGATAAAGATTTGAAAAAGATGGGAAAATGGAGAGACGACGGGGCTTTGGATGAGTTTAATAAAACAAAGAACTGTGGATGCTAGCAATTTGAAATAAAAAATCAGAAATTACTGGAGAAACTCAGCTGGTCTGAGTTAAGATTTCCGCCATTTCTGAAGAAGGGTTTACTGGACTTGAAACATTAATTCTGGTTTCTGTCTACAGATGCTGCCAAACTCGCTAAATTTCTCCAGCAATTGCTGTTTTGTTTGGATTAATTTAATAGATCTATAAAAACAAAACATAGCACAGACTTGATGGGCTGAATTCTTATAGTTTGTGCTACATTTGTGACGTTTTTTATTATTCATTCATTGGATGAGGATGTTGCAGGCGAAGCCCATTCCTAATTCCCCAGAGACAACCACATTGTTGTGGGTCTGAAGTCACATGTAGGCCAGACCAGGTAAGGTTGGCAGTTTCCTCCCCTAAAGGGCATTAGCAAACCAGATGGGTTTTTCTGACAATTGACAATGGATTCATGGTCAGCATTAGACTCTTAATTTCAGATTTTTTTTGAAATTGAATTTAAATTCCACCATCTGGTATGATGGGATTCAAACCCAAGTCCCCAGAACATTATCTGAATCTCTGGATTAATAGTCCAGTGATACTAATGATTATGTGAAATTTACGAGAATGTGGATTTAAGATTATGTGGAAGGAAAGACGAAGTAACAGTATCCGTGGAGGATCTGATCACAGTGACGGAATACAAGAAAATTCAGGGCAATTCTCCAAACATAAATTCTATATGGATAAAAATATAAAACTGAAAAATAAACCTACAGTTAACTGTGTGTAGTACAGACTGTAAAACAATGGGATGAAGTGAAAACATTTATGTGCAAGATAAAATGAAATAAAGTGAGAAATACAAGGGCAGAAAGCAGGCAGACAGTCAAATATAAAGCAAAATAACTATGTCTGACATATTTAATGCTTTTCTACTAATAACAATACACACACATGTATGTAGACGCTTAAACAATGAAGTTTAACTCCAAAGTATATTTAATAGTTTGGTTTTGATTTTCTGAAGAGGACAGGTCTCTGCATATGAATACATCCAAATTGAAAATGTTGTTTTCTTTGAAATATAATATTCTTGCATCTGTTCTGACGAATGCAAGACAAAAAGCTTTAACAGCATGTACCTTCTATCAGAAGTACTCAATTTCTATAGTACTAAGCAAATATAGGCTTATTCAAAAATATTTATTGCAAGAAATAAGCTTACAAAAAAAACTTTAAAGAAAAGCATATACAACTTCTATGTTCTGAAGATTTAGTCCATAAAACCTGCAAACGCATTTCTTCATGAGAGGGGTGGGTTCAATCAAATGCACCTTACCACTTTGTTATATTCTGCTGAAAAGAACAAATCAGCCTTGGCATATTTTATCTTGTGACTTTCTTTGTACTTCAAACCTATTCCTATCATTTGTAAATACTGACATCAAAATTAGATTCCCAAAATCTTATACATATCAAAACACCCTGTTGGAATTCCAAAGATAACTGTACAAAAATGCAAGAATTTCAAAGGTAAAGGTCTGTTTTAATCGTGAAATAATTACATTAAAACTAAACGTTAAGTCTGGTGTTAATTAAATTTGAATTTATTATGCCCACTCAAAACAGCATTTATCTTGCTCTTAGTTTTATCATAAGTATACCATTTTACCTGTTGCACTAAGCACACAGGGCTTTCAGGTATATAACTAAAATGGAAAAAAGCACAAAACAGAAAATGACACTGGAAAGTATGTTTGTTTAAATGCAAATCACTTCTGACAGCAACAGTTGCCAACAATGGTAAAGACATATAGAAGGCTGCTGCATCACACATGGACTTCTACGTACAACCTAACATTTGTCTATTACTGTAAACACTGAGCAATTTAAATGCATCTCCATTAAACTCATCTATCATGCTTTTTTTTTTAGTTATACAATATTCTTGCATAACTCAGTCCCTGTAGATAAAAGGAATTCAAATAATTTCAAGAATCTCTGTTTCAATAGGGCAATGACTTAAAATTTCTGTAAGTATAAAGGCAGTAAGAGTATACTTAAGAGGGAAATCAGGAGGGCCATAAGGGGACATGCGATTGCTTTGGAATTAGGGTTAGGGAAAATCCAAAGGGATTCTACAAATACATAAAGGACAAAAGAGTAACTAGGGACAGAATAGGGCCCCTTAAAGATCAGCAAGGTTGTCTATGTGTGGAACCACAGGAGATGGGGGAGATACTAAATGGGTATTTTGCATCAGTGTTTACTGTGGAGAAGGATATGGAAGCTAGAGAACGTGGGGAAATAAATAGCGACACCTTGTAAAATGTCCATATTACAGAGGAGGGGTTGCTAGACATCTTAAAACACATAAAGATGGATAAATCAATGGAACTTGACCAGGTATACCCTAGAAGTCTGTGGGAAGCTAGGGAAGTGATTGCTGGGCCCCTTGCTGAGATATTTGAATCATCAATAGCCACAGGCGAGATGCTGGAAAACTGGAATTTGGCTAACATGGTGCCACTAGTTAAGAAAGGTGGTACGAAAAGGCCAGGGAACTATAGAACAGTGAGCCTAACATCGGTGGTGGGCAATTGGTTGGATGGAATCCTGAGGACAGGATTTATACATAATTGGAAAGGCAATGACTGATTAGGGATGGTCTACATGAGTTTGTGCGTGGGAAATCGTATCTCACTAACATGATTGAGTTTTTTGAAGAATTAAAGAGAATTGATGACAGCAGAGCGGTGGACGTGATCTATTTCAACTTCAGTAAAGCGTTCGACAAGGTTCCTCATGGCAGATTGGTTAACAAGGTTATATCACATGAAATACAGGGAGAACTAACCATTTGGATATAGAACTGGCTCAAAGGTAGAAAACAGAGGGTGGTGGTGGAGGGTTGCTTTTCAGACTGGAGGCCTGTGACCAGCGGTGTGCCACAAGGATCTGTGCTGGGTCCACTGCTTTTCGTCATTTATAGAAATGATTTGGATATGATTCATAAGTTTGCAGATGACACCAAAATTGGAGGTGTAGTGGAGAGCGAAGAAGGTTATCTCAGAGTACAACGGGATCTTGATTAGATGGACCAAGGAGTGGCAGTTGGAGTTTAACTTAGAAATAAGTAAGGTGCTGCATTTTGGAAAGGTAAATCAGGGCAGGATTTATTCACTTAATGGCAAAGTCCTGGGGAGTTTTGCTGAACAAAGAGGGCTTGGAGTGCAGGTTCATAGTTCCTTGAAAGTGAAGTCACAGGTAGACAGGACAGTGAAGAAGGCGTTTGGTATGCTTGTCTTTACTGGTCAGTGCATTGAGTTTAGAAGTTGGGAGGTCATGTTGCGGCTGTACAGGACATTGGTCAGGCCACTTTTGGAATACTATGTGCAATTCTAGTCTCCCTGCTTTAGGAAGGATGTTTTAGCAAAGATCTGTAGTTAGGGTTGTGACTGGAGTTGTTGGTTGGTTCGTCGAGCTGACTGGTTTTGATGCAAACATTTCATCCCCCTTCTAGGTGACATCTTCGGTGCTGTCTAACCTCCATCAAAGCACTGTTGTTCTGTTCCACTCTGGATTTATGTGGTCTGTCCTGTCATGGTGGGTAATTATGTTTCTGGTTTTGCTCCGTAGTGGTACGTAGATGGGGACTATTTCAACATGTTCCTTTATGGCGCCAGTGGTTGAAACCCAGGCCTCCATAAACAGGCAACCACTAGTGCAATAAACAAACGACAGCACAGTGGCTCAGTGATTAGCACTGTTACCTCACAGCACCAGGGACCCGGGTTCAATTCCAGCCTCAGGCGACTGTCTGCGTGGGTTTCCTCCGGGCGCTCCGGTTTCCTCCCACAATCCAAAAATGTGCAGGTTAGGTCGATTAGGCTATGCTAAATTGCCCATACTGTCGAGGCTGGGAAATGCAGAGATTGGGTAGGGGGTGGGTCTGGACGGGATGTTCTTCGGAGGGTCAGTGTGGACTTGATGGGCCGAATGGCCTGCTTCCACACTGCAGGGATTCTATGGATCTATGACACATGTTGAAACAGACCCCCTCCGCATACCACTACGGAGCAAAACCAGAAACAGACCTACCCATCATGACAGACCAGACCATATAAATTCAGAACGGAACAGAACAACAGCGCTTCAACGGAGACTAGACAGCACTGAAGATGTCACCTAGAAGGAGCTTGAAACGTTTGCACGAAAACCAGTCAGTTTGGCAAACCAACAACTCCATACGAAGGATGTTGTTAAACTTGACAGGGTACAGAAAAGATTTACAAGGATGTTGCCAGGGTTGGAGAGTTTAAGCTACAGGGAGAGGCTGAATAAGCTGGGGTTATTTTCCCTGTAGCTTCGGAGACTGAGGGGTAAGCTGATAGACGTTTATAAAATCATGGGGGGCATGGATAGGGTGAACAGACAAGGTCTTTTCCCCGGGTGGGCGAGTCCAAAGCTAGAGGCATAGTTTTAAGGTGAGAGGGGAAAGATTTAAAAGGGACCTAAGGGGCAACTTTTTCACGCAGAGGATGATATACGTATGGAACGAGCTGCCAGAAGAAGTGGTGGAGGCTGATACAATTACAACATGTAAAAGGCACCTGATGTGTACTTGAATAGGAAGAGTTTAGAGGGATATGAATGAAATGCTGGCAAATGGGACTACTTTTACTAAGGATATCTGGTCGGCATGGATGAGTTGGACGAAAGGGTCTGTTTCCATGCTGTACAGCTCAATAACTCTTGACTCTAAATGCACAAATATTGTTATTTTAATGTTTTACAATCTAGGTAATTATTACCTATTAATGTCAATGTTAAATCTAGATATTTACCTTGTTTTAGTATTTATGGAGATTAATCAGAAAGTTCTTACCTGAGCTCCATAAATGTACTTGTCCAACATCTTTCCTCCAATGGTTTGCCCACCTATATCCCAGACTTGCAGTGTAACATTTAAATTACCTACACAAAGAAACAGACGAGTAATTTAGAACCAATTGTTCATGAACTAGAATTAAATTTTCCAACATACAAAAACAAGTAAATGATTTCAGTCAATTTCCCATTCTGCCACAATGCCAGTTGAGTAGCAAAAGTTAAAGTGACATCATTGTTGTAGATAGAATTGCTTCCTTTGAATGCTTGATTGGGATATTCAATATGAGGTCTGCACATCAAACCCGATGCTTAATTATTAATCTCATTTGAATAACTAAAATAGCTACATGCAAGGATCACTGGATGAGTATTTACTTTGTCCCAACTCTAACAAAAACGTCATCTTAAAATCATGGAAGGAGGTTACACATTCTCTAAATATGGAGTCACAAAAGAATCTAGATATGAAGTGTATGCTTACATGAGCCATTAGAAAATTATTAAATAAGTAATAAGCCATATAATATTTGTATTCATATCAGATTAATATCTGAAGTACAGACTAACAAAAAAAATTCAGTGTTTAAAATTTAGTACCATGTCTTTCGCAGCAGTCTACATTCAGCAACTACAGTTAATACATTAAGAGAGCAGACATTTAACAAATGCACAATAGAAATCTTTTTTGAGAGAGTTTCAAGGACTGTCTCTCTTTTCAATAACCATATATTACAGGAAATAAGTGACAAACAGTACGAATGGAGGAAATAAACAAAAAACAACAAATTTACATTCACTGCATTAAAAACATTAAGCCAGCACACTGACCAGTTCATACTGGGCTGAATTTAAAACCACCAGTGGGACTTGCAATAGCCTTGTAAAATATTTTTGGCATAACTCTTAACCTTATTTTAAGTGTCAAAAGCCAAGGATGGAACTAAAAACATTACTTTGGCTATTTTTCATTAACAAGACTGAAATAATCCATTCATGGGAATAAACTTATTTACTGGATGCCTCCCAAATGACTAGTGAAACATATTTTACAGTGGATCCTTTAAGAAGAGGAATATTCTATATTAATCAAAACTCTATGAGCCCATGTAAGGTGGGACAATAACTCATCTCTTTCAAGCTGATTCTTTGCAGTGAGTGCTCCTTGACCATCATTCTGATGTTTTGGCAGTTTCAAAACACTTCGCATATTTAAAATCTATAAAAGAACGCTCAATTTTTAATATTTCAGTGGTGAAGATTTCACATGGAATTGAAAATGCTTCCACTCAATTCTAAGCTTTTCATCTTTCCATTTGTAACCAAAGTTGGTCTTAGCCTTCTACATTGCCAGTCACTGAAGTGAAAGAAGGGCATTTCTTTTACAACTCAAACTTAAACCAAAGAAATTCCGAGCATGTTATGAAAATTTCAAAGCAATATTTTTTTGAAAAATAAATAATTCACAGAAGCTGATTGTTTCTGAAGCAAATCCAACGAACTGTCTGAAAACTAAATTTTCAAAGGCTTGTATCTAAACATTTTTTTAATCAAAATAAGTAAATTTAACACAAAAGTGATAGAAGTATGCAGTAGCACAGAAAGTATTTGCACCAAAGTATTCAAGATGTACAAGTTTTTATGCAAGTTCTGACATGTTTACTTTTAATACCCATTCTTAGCTGCCCAGAGATGGTGGTGGTAGATGCTTTTGAAGCACTACAAGCATTGTACTGATGATGTTAGATAGGAATTTGCAGAATTTTGACCAAGTGATAAAGGAATAGTGGCATCTACATCCAAATTAGAACAGTATGACTTGGAAAGAAACTTGAAAATGCAAGTCCACAGTGTTACTGGTCTTGTCCATTCTTGTCACAGAACTATGAAACAGTTTCAAGGTAACCCTGGTGAATTGCTGCATAGTGAACTTCTTTGCTTCCCATGGCTAATCCACCTAGCCTGCACATCCCTGGACACTATGGGCAATTTAGTATCTCCAATCCACCTAAACTAAACATCTCTGGACTGTGTGAGAAAACCGGAGCGCCCAGAACAACCCCATGTAGACACGGGAGCATGTGCAAACTCCACACAGTCACCTGACAGTGTAATCAAATCTGAGCCCCTGGCACTGTGAGGAAGCAGTGCTAAGCACTGAGCCATCGTTTATGGTCAAGAACTCAACCAGAAGAAGTGGATGACAAAAGGTATTACCCTCTGGGTTCTCGTGATGTTTCAGTAACTCCAATGAGTAACTGAGAAAGACAGATAAAAGTATAGGCTCCGATTCAATGCCCAATCATTGCAGTTGGAACACTAATGCTCACCTTTAATACTCAGATCATTTTAGGAATGGGGCTCAAAGAGACCATTAAGTTCAACAGTGAAGCCCTATGACTCAATACTAAATCAACGTGTACTTTCAAGATACAAGCTTATGATAGCCAATGGAATGAGGAAGGAAAACAACAATTTTAAAAAGTTAAAAAAAAGTTTGGAGAGATATTGCAAATAAAAGGAAGACAAGTGTCATCTGAATTAGATATGCTTCACAGAAATCATTCTTCATGTACTTTCATCATAAGTAAACATTAATTAATAAATTCCCTGGGTATACTTCTAGATTGCTAGTCAGATAAGGGTTAATTAATTATGCATTTATTAATGGAAAATAGTGTTTCCCTAAATTTCTGGAAGTATTTGAAGCAGTAGCAGAGAGGGTTGATTCAAATAATGCTGTTGATGTGGTGTATAAACTTCCAAAATGAATTTGATATTGCGCCACATAAAAGATGGAGCTCATGGAATAAAAGAGACAGTAGCAATGTCAATATAAAATTGTCTATGTGTAAGGAAACAGGAAGTAGTGGGCAATAGCTTGCAGTGAAAATCTCCAGAATCAGTAATGGGACCCTTGCTTTTCCGGAATTATATTAATGATCTAAACTTAGATGGGCAGAAGACAATTTCAAAATTTGCAAACGACACAGAACTTGGATGCATTATCAACTGTGAGGAGGACAAAGTAGAACTTCAAAAGAATACTGACAAGTTGGTGGAATAGGCAGAAAAGTGGAACATGAAATTCAATGTGGAGAAATGTGGGAATGATACATTCTAGTACAAACAGCATGAAGAGGCTATAAAATAAATAGTCCCATGCAAAAAAGGTATGCGGAGCAAATAAATCTCAATGTATATATATGCAAAAGTTATGAAAGAAAGCAGGACAGGTAGAAAGGGCAGTTTAAAAAGCATACAGTACCATGAGCTTTATTTATAGCCACAGAGAATTCAAGAATAAGGAGGTTATGCTGATCTTTTATGAGATTCTAGTTAAACCTCAGCTGGATTTTAAAAACAGTCCTGGCTGCCACATCTTAGGAAGGATGTGAAAGCATTGGACAGCAGCAGAAGACGTTTACAAGAATGATGAGAAATGTCAGTTGTGAAGATACATTAGAGAAGTTCAGATCATTTTCCTTGAAGAGGAGAACTGATACAGTTTTCAAAATTGAAGGTGGTCTGGTCAGAGTAGGTAGGGAGAAATTGTTCCCACTCCTGAAAAGATTCAAAATGATGAGTCATTTTAGTACAGCAAGTAGGGAGAAATGATTTCCAGTGACAAGACAGTCAGTAATCAGAGGTCTTAGATTTAAAGTAACTAGAGTAAAAAACTAGAGGGGAAATAAGCAGAAATTACTTTGCACATATCTGGAGCAAAGATCAAATTCCAGAGGAAATTTCAAATGATGATGGCCATATAATTCAAGATCACTGATTTGTTGAGTCATGAAAAAGCTGACGTGTAGGACTAAATTGAACAGCTCTTTCTTAGAGTTGGCACGGACATGACACACCAAAGATGTATGCAAAAAGATTCTATGATTATAATTTTGAAGGAAACGCAACTCAAGGATGAAGATAACATGCTCATTACTAGATGCCCAATACTAATTATACCTTCCATTACTTAAGCCATCCAAACACTGACAGTATAGCCCTGGTGACCAAATCACACCTTTGTTTTGCATCCCAAGAAGGAGTCATCATAGGAATTGTGAAGAAAGCTGATGAAAATGAGCAGATCCCCGATGGCTTACTGCATGTTAGATAATAATACTGTTTAAACATTGGTCTTTTAAGTAGTGGGAGATTTGCCAGCAGTGAGATTGTCATGTGGAAGTACTATGAGGGAGGATAAAAGAGTAGTAATAAGAAGAGCACTTGTCTGAAATGTAAGACTGGAATTCTTGGTGGCAAATCAGCAAAAGAAACAGGAAAAAGACATCTGTTTTGGACAGTGGAAAAAAAAGTGAAAAATGCTAGTGTAGGAGATCGCAATAAGCTACAGTGGTAAGAAAGTAGTGACAGGAAACCATAGGAGAAACCTCACTGAAAACAACAGCATCATCTGCCTTGGAGACCATCTAAGATAGAATGCATCACTGAGCTGTAATCAATTATGGAAAATCACTTTATTTAAATATAATGCACATGACAGAAAGAGATAGCCTTCCAACAAGTGTACGTTATCATCAACAAGAGTAATATTTTACTGGAATAAAACAAAGAACTGTGAATGCTTAAGATGTCAAACAAAAATAGCAATTGCTGGAGAAATTAAGGTGGTCTGGCAGGACCTGTGCAGAGAAAGCAATTAACAGCTTGAGCCCAGTGATCCTTCTTCAGAACTGTTCGGAATGATCGACCGCTTCAGAAAATCAATGAAGAAACCATTATCTATGCCTGTGGAACAATACATTGTGAAAACCACTTAAGTAATCTGGCCAGTTTTTTTAAAAAAATTATTCCTTAACTACATTGGTTTGTCTGTCTTTTGTGTGAATGGGAGTGAAAAACAAAAATTTTTGGATTTATATTTTAGACCAACTGTATAACTTTGTTTAATTTTGCTCGACTAAAGTTATTGTATTGTAAATAAATTGCTAAGTTTTTTTTAAGATACAAACTGGTTGTCAAGAATTCATTATTCTCAAAGTCTGGGATTGGTTATTCAAAAGTCTGGTACGGAATCAATGGGATCAATTTTGAGAGTCTTTGAAGTTTAATTTTTAAATGTTGCAAAGGTAAACTAGATGGGCTGATGTAATTCAGTGGTCTGTTTCCGTGTGGCAACAGTTTCAAAAGCATCTCTTCCATATACTCATTTGAAGAGCCGGTGCAGGCACAATGGGCTGAATGTTCTCCTTCCATGCTGTTAGATTCTGTGGGTCAGTGATACTTCCCTCCTCTGCTGGGTCAACAACAAATTAATAAAATCCTTACATGTGGCCACATCAGAGAGAGAAGATTGTTGAGCTATAAGTGGATGAATTCTTCCACTGACAGATTAATTTTATCTAAGTATTTCACAATTAGTCGCTGAAGGAAAGAAAACAAATTAAGCTGCATACAACACAAAATGCCAACTTCTAATGAGAGCAAAGCCAGGTTCTCATTGCTTAATAATCAAAAAGCAGAAAATCTATTCCAACAGGATCCATAACTGGTTTCTATATTATTGCAGAAACAGACAGGTAATTTTTAAGCAAGTTCAGAGATAGTAGGAACTGCCGATGCTGGAAAATCTGAGGTAACAAGGTGTAGAGCTGGATGAACATAGCAGGCCAAGCAGCATCAGAGGAGCAGGAAAGCCTTCCGGGTCCAGACCCGAAGCGTCAGCTTTCCTGCTCCTCTGATGCTGCGAGGCCTGCTGTGTTCATCCAGCTCTACGCCTTGTTATCTCTAATTTTTAAGCAAGCTTCCTTTTCAGTATGAAATTGGAGATCCTTGAAGCACCATACTACACATGATACAGTCAGCTTTGGCCTCACTCTTATCTGTTATGGTACATCGAAATCCCACCAAGACATACCAATTCTTGACAAATCTTTCTGGAGGAATTTACACAAACCTCTCCAGAAAGGTGTAAGAGATGAATTAAAAAAGAACAAAATACACAGTGCAAAAATAATTCCTTAAAAATTGATGAGGTTACAATAATACAATACTAATTCCTACTTTGAAGATAAAGCAACTAATAGAACTATAAGTTTTTGTTTTTTCTTAACTCCAAATTAGGTTCTAGCTCCTGCTTCTTTTTTGACATCTTTAAGTTTCTCAATTCTATATTTCACAGTCTGCTCAGTTTGACCATTACTGCATAAAAAAAATTGAAGTAGAAATGTTTCTCCTTTCCATATCAGAGTCCAGGACCAACAAATGTATGGTAATCAAAGAGAGGCTAAAAGGCTTTGCAGTGACAAGACACTTTTTTTTCAGAAAGTGCAAGGAAAATTCACACAGCAAAAACAATTACAAAAACCAACTCGGTCTTCAAGGATGTGGAACAGACAGGAAGAAGAAACCTCACCGAGAAACATTGAAAAATTACATCATAGATTCACAGAGGTGTTACGGTGCAGAAGGAGGCCATTCAGCCCATCATAACTGCACTAGCTCATCAAACAAACCACATTACCAAGTGCCAATCTCCTGATTTGCCCCTCTCCCCCACCAATACCTTTTCACATTATTTCTATTCAAATAATAATCCAACACCTTCTTGAATGCTTCAATTGAACTTGGCCCCACCACACTTTGAGGCAGTGCATTCTATACCCTAACTACTCGCGGTGTGAAAACGATTTTTTTTCCTCACATCACAATTGCTCCTTTTTAAATCACTTTAAATCTGTGGCCTCTGTCTCTTGATCAATTTATAGGTGAGAACTGTTTCTCCCTATCTACTCTACCCAGCCCATTCATGATTTCGAAAACCTCTATCAGATCTTCTCTTAGCTTTCTACTCTCCAAGAGGCACAGTTTCAACTTCTTCACTGTATTATCATAACTGAAATTTTCCATTCCTGAAACCATCCTTTTAAATCACTACTGCACTCTCTCCAATGTATTCGCATCCTTCCTATAATGAGGCAACCAGAACTGTATACAATACACCAGCTGCCATCTAAGAAGTGTCTTCAACAAATTCAACATTACCAACAAATTCAACATTGTTTCCTTGCTCTTGTGTTCTATGCCCTTATTAATAAAGTGGAAGACAGATAATGCATGTTTTGTCAATTGCTCAACCGGTCTTGCTAACTTCAGTAATCTCTGCACACCCAAGATTCCTTTGCTCCTGAGCTCCCTTTACAATTGTGCCCCCTATTTTATATTATCTTTCACATGTTCTTCCTATCAAAATGCATCACCTCACACTTCTCTACATTGAACTTCATAGACAAGTTGGTAGAGTGGGCAGATAAGTGGCCTATGTTCTTTCGGAGTACAACATTGTCTTCTTCACAGTTCACAATTCTTCCAAATTTTGTGTTATCAGCCAACTTTGAAGGCGTCCACTGCACAGCATGGTCAAGATATATTAATATTTATCAGCAAAAGCAAGGGTCCAAATACTGACACCTGGAGAGTTCCATTATTTACGTTCCTCCCACCTAAAAAATGTCCATTGAATGCTACTCTCCATTTCCTATCACTCAGCCAATTTTGTAACCATATAGTCATGTGCCCAAAGTCCTGATGTATGTTTCCAATGGGGAAGACTCCAAGATGCACAGCCAAAATTATTCCTTCACAAGTTTTGTAAAAACTGTTTGCCTCAATGTCCAGACGGAGTTGTAACCTCTATGCAGACCACGAAGAATGCCAATTGAACAAAATAAAGTTCTCTGTTAAATTAAAATGAGTTTCCAAAAGAAAGTTACAGTTATGAGTAGACTAAATAAAAGGGCAACTCGGTGCCAGCTTTTTCATTCATCACAATGGTAGTGTTTCAAAGTTTAAATGAATATTTTTGAAAACTGTAAAAATAAAGGATAGAGAAAGAAATGAGAAAAGGAAAAAAAGATAGAAAAAGCAAAAGACAGAAGAGAGAAAACAAACTCAGGTTTCTATTGTGTATTTCATGACATCGTAGAACATCACAAAGCACTTTCCAGACAATTAAGTACTTTTGATATTTAGTCATTGTTGTAATATGGAAAACACAGTGGTCATTTTGTGCAGAACAAGTTCCCACTGCAAAAAGACAATGACTAGGTAATGTTAAACAATGGTCCTGTCAGGCTCTCAAATGGTCACAAAAGATCCCATGGCTATTTTGAAGACAAGCGATGCTGCTTTCTCTCATTTCCTGGGCAATATTTCTCCCATAATCAAGCTTAAAAACAGATTATTTGATCACGAAATCATTCCTGCTTTTGGGAGCTTGATATGCAACAACACTCTATCTGAAACATTAATTTCAGAATTATTTAACATTTTCCCATCAGACAGGGGGGAGCAGGGACAGGGAGCCCCAGACCAGGAGAGACCAGGTTCTGGTCCAGCTGTGCCATGTCCAACTCAGGATGAAATTCACGACCAGCAGTAGGATAGCAATGGTCGGCCCATCCACTATTCGGAAAAGAGAGGCACATCCCTCATCAATCCCATTCCCCCATATCAGCCCCTCCATCAATGTTCACTGTAGTGAGGGATTCCAGCAAACAAGACTGGGTTCCCTACCAGGTTTTGATTCACAGCCCACGACCCCCAGCCGCTCACCTTCCCTGAGGCACCATCCCCTAAGATAACGATCTTTAGCTGCTGGTCATGAATTTCATCCTCAGAGTTGGACATGACAAAGCCAGACCAGGCCCTAGACTCTCCAGGTCTGGGGCTCCCTGTCCCCGCTCTCCCTTGTCTGATGGGAAAGTGTTAAATAATTCTGAAATTAATGTTTCAGATAGAGTGTTGTTGCATATCAAGCTCCCAAAAGCAGGAATGATTTCATGATCAAATAATCTGTTTTTAAGTTTGATTAAAGGAAAAATATTGCCCAGGAAACGAGAGAAAGCAGCATCACTCGTCTTCAAAATAGCCATGGGATCTTTTGTGACCATTTGAGAGCCTGACAGGACCATTGTTTAACATTACCTAGTCATTGTCTTTTTGCAGTGGGAACTTGTTTTGCACAAATTGACCACTTTGTTTTCCATATTGCAACAATGACTAAATATCAAAAGTACTTAACTGTCTGGAAAGTGTTTTGTGATGTTCTAGGATGTCTCATCACATCACTGCTAGGATGGAGCATACAATGAGAGAAAGAAGCCCCACTAAGCACCCACTCCCATGGGCTGGTGATAAGCTAGGATGCTCTTCCTTAATTGGCCTCCCGGGCACAGAGAAATATCTCCCATCTCAGCTCTTGCCCTCCCAACGCAAAGTGTACCCGCATGAGGACCCTAGCTCTAAAAGCTAGTTCCCAAGAAAGGCAAAGGCACACTGTGCCACCACTTTAGGGAAAGCACAATTATAAGGTGACAACTCACATGGACATCTTCCATTATACATGTTGGACTAAGAATTTAAGATAATATGGGAAGTTCGCACAGATGCAATATTTATACTAACCATATAACTACTCCGATTAACATTATTACACTTTGCACAGAGTGAAACTTTGTCGAATGTTCATACCTGGTAGAGATATTCTTTTCAGGAAAAAATCCAATCCAATTGTTTGTTTGTACTGTTTCCCAAAAGCTTCCTGGGCGAAACGCATTGCTAAAGAAGTCTGCAAGGGAAACTAGGAGTTAATATACGAGATCAGGAATGATTTACATCAATGTTCGCTGTAGTGAGGGATCCCAGCAAACAAGACTGGGTCCCCTGCCAGGTTCTGATTCAGGACCCCCAAGCCGCTCACCTTTCCTGAGGCGCCGTCCCCTAAGATGACGATCTTTAGCTGCCGGTCGTGAATTTCATCCTCTGAGTCGGACATGGCACAGCCGGAACAGGCCCCTGTCGTTCCTGGTCTGGGGCTCCCTGTACCCGCTCTCTCCTGGGCTGTCTGACTTTATATCCCGTTCAGCGCTGTCACAGTCTCTTTGTTTGCCTGTTTCTGTGTATCTATATCTCCCTATTTGTCTTTCTTTCTGTGGCAGTCTTTGCGTCTGAACCCCTCTCCCTGACCCTGTATGTGTCTGTATTCATATATCTCTGATCCTCTATCCGCTCTGCTGTCTCTCTCTCTCTCTCCGACGATCTTTCTCCTTATCTGTCTCTGTGTTGGTGTCAGCCTACAGTATGTCTCTCTTTCTCTGAAACCCCAGTCTGTCTCTCTGTCTCTGACCCCCTCACCGCTCAGCCTCGCCGTATCTCCCTCTCTCTAACACCCCTTCGCTCACTAAGTTTCTGTCCCTGTCTCAGACCTTGTCTGTGTCTGGCCCTCTCACAGTTTCGATGTGTGTCTCTCCCTGATCCCCCTCCACCTTTCCCTGTCTGAGTGTCTGTTTCTATGAGTATTTCTTTCTTTGTCTCTAACCGCCCTCACCACTCCGCCTTATCGTGACTGTCTGTCCTGTCTCTGACCCGCAATCCGCGATTTTATGAATATGTCTGTGTCCCTCACTGTCTCTAACCCCTTCTCCCTGACTGTATGTGTGTCCCTCACTGTCTCTAACCCCTTCCCCCTG